AGGGTCGCGAAGGGAGAGACTAGGAAAATGTACGGAAAAAACTTCGGTATGTGACAACCGCAACGTTCATATCACATTCTCTGACTGTATGTACAATTAACAAACAGAATTAATTTCATTAGCGTTTCATGATTTGCTAGTAAAATTAATTTCACGAACGCTTACGGCCACGGTCATGGAAATAATACACTACGACTGTAATTACGCGGTTTTCATAGTAGCTACTGTTGTAGTCTATACTTCCTTCAGATAAGAATTACGCAGATGTAGCACATTTAAGTAGTTAAAAAAATTATAGAGCAATTACATCAGACATCGTAGATTTGTGGGGCATTCGTAGAAAAGATAATTGCGACTGAACTCCCCGGAGTGACGAGTCCATGCGAATTGTTAGTAACGGCGTCGCAACGTTTTGTATAATGTGTAATAACGTAAATACATCTGACAAAAAGTACCACAAACTAATTACCGGCTGCGGAATCCATCCGTCGCGAAACGATTGATGTTTACGTATTGAGGCATACAATTAGAAACACGAACTGTGATTTGCGTTTGTATCTTGGAAACGAACGAGTGCGAAACATGCAGCGAGAAGAGAACAGCACGAATTCGCGTGGAGAGGAAGTTTCTTGAAACTACACGAACAGACCGATGCTTATTAAGACAAATGTTCGCGTGCGTTCGGAAAATTCGATTCACTCTAGTTCCACAGAAACTTCGATGCAGAAAATGATTCAGGAAACCCCTCATTTTCTCATTACTTAACAGATTGCATCTTATATTGAAGTTTCAAAATTCTAGCAATACTCACCAGAAATCATTTAAATCCGCAACGTTCCACATTCTGCTCCTTGAACTGCCACATCCACGATTCAACTGCGAATCTTTCACCATTTGTGATATCAGTCGATTGAAATTGGTTTCTGTTGTTATCAAGAAATTAATCAGATTTACAACTTAAGCTTTTAATGACTAAATCACGGTTCAAGAAAGTTCCGGAACTTTTTCACAGGAGATATATATATATATACTGAAACTAAAACTTTGAATCTCAAGAATTTATT